GAGTTAAATGGAAAAAGAATGCATACATACCTGCCCACCACAAACATCTTCACAACCTTCATCACTTTTTTTACGTGAATAATATGTCATCGGGACGAGAATTTCTTTATAGGCACTTTTCTTCTGTAAAACCTCTTTCTCCCTCTTTGAATGTTAAAACAGTGAAGTTGTTGTAAGAGCAAGCAGATAGCTCCTTAAAGAGAAGAAAGGTACCAACAAGGTTTGACTCAAGTGGTAAGCAGCTTGATGCCCCTTAAGCAAGGTCTCGGGTTCGAGTTCTTGTGGATGCAAAAAAATCTTTGTTGGGAGACTCACCCACCAAAGGATTAGTCGGGGCACAACTCCAAATACCGTGACTGGCTAAAAAAAAAAGAGAGAACAAAGGTACAAATGAACAAATGAATTTAAATTGAGTTCCCAAGGGGCAGCTCTCTTTTCTTCCAAGCGCAAATTTTGGCATCAATTTTCGGAAAAACATATAAGGGAAGATAGGAGTGGATATGTAGTCTTCTTCTTCAGCGTCATCCTTATTCAAAACTAGTCTTCTCCTATTTATCTGTCATCAATTGCGCTATTCCTTTTTTCGGAGAGGGAAAGTGAGGAGAATTGAATGTGAATAAATGATTTTTCTTTTCCTTTTCTTATGCAAAAAAACTATTTCAATTTCTTTTTTTTTTTTATTTAATATTAAGATAAAACCATCTGTGTTTAATATAATGACAGATGCTACGGTCCTGTTATAGGACCATTCCGTTAGAATTTATAACCATTAAATCAATTATCCCGACAATTAAAATCCGATGGAATGGTTCTGTATGTAACATTTTTCGCTATATTGTAATCCAAAAAGAACAAAATTGTGCCAAGGACCACACGGTGTGTAACCGTGACGCGCTTTGCAGTTAATCAAATTAATAACAATTAATGTTATTTCTAGTATGCAAAAAATTATGGTTTCTCACATTAAATGTGCTTTGGAATTATATTCTATCAATAAATCTATACTTTCTCGACTTTAGTGTGGTTTGAAATTACAATTTTTCTTTTTGTTTTATATGTGGTCAGTTAAACAAGTCAATTGTTGTTTTATTAAAAAAAAAAACGTATTTATTTTAGAAAATATTATAGATTATCTATACTTATATAAAGAGTCATCCTATTTATTAAAATAAGTAGCAAAAAAAATAGGTCAGCATTAAATGCATCTCATAAATAATAGCTTTATTATTTTTCTTATTTTTTCTTTAAAAATCATACAATTTAATTTATAAATACGCTCTAATATTATAATACGATTTAATTAAAATAATAATTAAATATTGAATGGTGAACAAGAATAAGTAAAACTGTTACTTTCTCTTATATCAAGAGATAAATTTATATGCTAAAATTAAGTTCTTATTAGTATAAATGTTTCAGTGAGATAATATATTAATTATTTTACAAGTTAGCCCTAACGTGCTCATATTTAATGTTCTGGCTAAAATGACAATGCTGGTTAAAAGATTTGGAAAAAAAAAGCTTATAACCCAATTATTTTTTAGACTTAACGTTGATTAAAAGAGGTAGAAAATAAATAAACCTCATTACTTTTTAGACTTAAACGGACAAGACTGTACATGAGAATAACTCATTTAATATATCTGTCAGATGTGAAAAAAAAAGTTTATAACTTTATTGTTTTTTAGACTTAACGTTGATAAAATGTGTAGAAAATAGATAATAACCCTATTATTTTTTAGACTTAAACGGACAAGGTTGTGAAAGTAAAAGTTTATAAGTATTAGAATATTCATTTTGTGAGTTGTCCCACATCGTTTATATAGGGAAAAATATGCCTAATTTATAAGTCTAATGAGCTACTCCTCCTTCCACCAATTGGTTTTGAGATCGAACCTCACTTGGGCTTCATATGGACTTTCTCTGCTTATGGTACGCTTCATCTGCGTAGGATTGCACCCATTTTTGCCCCCGTTTCTTATATGGTATCGCAACCACTTCTATTTCGACCGTGTGATAACATAGTTGTTTACCAAGCCGGTTTCTAATAGGGCTTGGGCACCCGACTCCGTATATGGGCTTGAGCTTCTTATGAAGGTCTCACAAGTGAGGGAGCGTATTAAAATATTCACTTGTGAGTTGTCCCACATTGTTTATATAGGGAAAATAGGCTTAATTTATAAGCTTAATGGGCTACTCCTCATTCCACCAATTGGTTTTGGGATAGAACCTCACTTGGGCTTCATCTAGGCTTTTTCTTCTTATGGTGCGCTTCATCTGTGTGGGGCCGTACCCGTTTTTGCCTACTAGGTGAGTTTATGGGCCAATAAAGTCTTTTTCTCTCTTGTGTTTCTTACAGTAAGTCATAAAACCCCTTATAAATAAGGATCCGGGTTTTATTTTCACTAAATCTCTCATTTATCATCAATTACACTGCAAATAATATTTGTATTCTGACTTGAGCGTCCGGGACCCGGCGCATTGCAGGTTGATCCGATTAACGAAGGCGAAGGCAAAGGCGAAGGCGATCAGACGAGGCAGTACGATCGACAATCTCGGTGTGTCGATTATTTTAGGATTATCAAATTCGCGTCGTCTGTGGGGGCAAATCCCACTATCTATCAAAAAGAAGCAAGGTGGTGGTCGTGTCGTGGCGGCCACGATGACCGTACATTTCAGCTGGACACGGGCAGAACATCGCGACAAAAAATAATAAAAAGAAGCAGTGACGACAGTTACCTGTCGATAGCCCATCAGGCCAACATGTTGCCTAAATGAAACCACAGACCAAAAAAATAAAAAGAAAAAGAGTAATGGCCAGAAGTTATGGTGGCCAAGAGGGCCATGCCGTCGTGGTAGCAAGGAGGCTGCGGTAGTCATGTCGAGTTTCCGTGACGGCCGCAATATTGGTCAGAAACGGGTTAGAAGGGAGCCCGCAATGGCCACCAGGCTACAGTGGTTAGGAGGCCGTGGATTTTAAAATGTCGTGATGACCAAAATGTTATGGTTGTCTGGGTATTCGTTGGTTTGGTTCAGGCGGGAACGGTTCGGATCGTTGTCGGGACTGGGACTAGAGTGACCGACGAGGGAGATGAGTTTGCATAGCCATGGGCGCCGCTACGGGTAAATATTTTCTGGTCGTGCGTGACTACAAGAGTAATTGGGCATGATTGGAGTATTAAATTAGATAGGGTCTGATAATTTTTGGCCCAACAAGATTGTGTGGATGTTGGTAGTCAGCCCAGATGTAAAGGTTAAAAAAAACATGGGCCTAACATATTACGTGGCTCAAGAAGAAAGAAGGGCATGGGGCCTAATCTTTTAAATGGCCCAAGAGGATAAAGAAGAAGTAAAAAAATGACGGGTTTGAAGAGGGAGAGAGTGATAGGAAGCAGCGGCGCACTTTTGGGAGTGAAGAGAAGTGCGAGATGCGGGGATGGATTGGCCATTAAAAAGAACCGATCCAACGACTGATTTCTCATAGGAAGAGCTCTACATGCGATCGTGATGCCCACTCATAGGTTTTGGCCGGTGGATTTGGCGATATTTTAGGATCGACAACGATTGTGATACCCAAGCAACGTTGTTGAAGGTAAGACAAGTCTCAACGGAAGTTGGTGTGAGGCTAGGGACAATTGTGGCAGAGGCGAGCCTCGAACGTCGTTGGGAGATCTTACGCGAGCAATTTCTGAAGGACAGAGATAATTTCATCCTCGACATACCGAGAAATCGATAGATGGTACTAGGCTGCGTGGGGCACTGGTGGCCAGTGGGTGGTCGTCGATTTTTTAGTGCCTTTTTTTTTCAGAGGCGATATCGTAAGGTAGTATAGGCACGATTGTTTGAAAGCCTACGAAGGGTCGCAAAAGAACAAAGTTGTGGCCTAAATGAGCTGCTCTTAGCCCAGTTCGTGACATATATGTTAGTTTTGGGCTTAATATGTTAATTAGCCCAAGGAAACAAAAGCGGTAGATTTGAAAGAAAAAAAAATAGGAACCAGTTGTGGTATTTTTAAAAAAATAAGAAAAAGTTACGGGCAAGGCAAAGAGAAAGTGGCAGACGAACACCCATGGGCCTCGTGATTTAGAGAGGTGAGTTATCATCTTTAAGCCAAACAGTCGGCGGCTCCGCCAGAATTTTCTGAGGATATCTTGCAGTCATACCCTTCAACTGGTGGTCCATTCATGCAAATGAGTTCTGCTCAACCAGCGCAGAACATCTTTTCCAACTGTCTTCTTCAGCTCAAGCGACCACCACGCCCAGTTTTCTAACTTTTACATGTAGGAGTAGCATCCCATTACCAGAAGTCAATCTTCACGCATGCCGCTAGGACAAAACATTCTCTGGACAGAGTTCCGACGCGCCTCTTTTACAGCAAGAACCTGGCCAACTTTTCGCATTGGCGGTCCAACCAATAAATGACCAGCGTACAGAGTTCCATTGTTGGCCTCTGGCCAAGTATATAGCTTCCAACATACTCCGAGGCAACCGTGCAACAACCTTGTGCACCTGTCCTCGAGCTTGCAATCTTTCCATTTGCGCTCGACGGTCTCGCACAACGACTTTAGCTTCAACACACATCTGTAAAGTTGTTTCTGGCACCTAACGCATAGCTTGCGAACGTTCCCAGCCTGTGACCAACCCGTCGGCGGCCACAGCACCCATGCAATAGCCACAACAGTCTGTCG